ATAAAAGATTGTTTTAAACTATTTATCTTTTGTACATGGAGGTCACAGTCATTCTCACTCATTAGATATCAAATTGGATAGCTTGGAGTGAGTAACAAAGTCTGAGAAATTTTTTTTTTATAAACTTTATGTTTATTCAATGACACTCTTATAACCTTTCATTTTGAAATTTAAGGGACAATAATGATTGTGATCTCTCTGTACGAAAGATAAATTGTCTTTTTATAAAAAATATCTTTACATAAATACCACTTATTGTTCCCCAATTCAAATACCGAACAAGCTTTTTGTTATTTTTATCCTTGATTAAGCACAGGTCATTTTGTCATTCTATTAAGGTAATAAAATTATCGAAGTGTCCCTAATCGGTTAGTCTCCCACTATCGAAGCAGAGAAATTTAGGAACTTTTCAATATTTTTTCTAAAATGTACTTGGTTGAAATTAAAATTTAGAAACAAACCCTCAAATGTTATTAGTGATCATTTGATCCTTTTAGTAAGGGATTTCAACCCATTGATTAATATTTACCAAAATAAAATTTGCCGTATATAAATTACATAGGGAGGTATGCTTGCCCAGTTAGCAAAGGATAAATCTATCAAGATTGGGAAGATTGACTAGTCAAATTGGTTATATAGTTGATTGGTGCTTTAGTCAATTTAGTCTAAAGTAAAAATTGGGCTAAGTTAAAAAATCAATCAAAATTAATGTTTGACCTATTTTGATCCGTTCAAGTTACGGCTTTTTATCAATTTGACCAACGAAATAAAAAAAAGGTACATTTTTTTATAGGTATTGTATATTACGAGACTATTTATCTGCATTCACAATCACTCCTAGCTATTAGGTAACTTGTGGTTTGTCATTAAGTTTAAATTTTATCTCTTTTTTTTGTTTTTTTATAAAAAAATTGAGTCTAATCAATAACTCTTATAACTACTCGATTTGAAATTTGACAGCTAAGTATGATTGTGATGATATATTTATATAAAAAAATAGATAATTTTTGTTTAATTTCATATTTTTATCCGATTTAGAGAAAGTATAGAATGAAACCATTTACCTTTTATACAAGGTGGTCACATTAATCTTGACCGTTGATTGTGAAGTTGGGTGGTTGCAATTATTCCATTATCAAGCTCAAACTTCAAAAGAAATTTTTTCGAACTTTGTGACACACTAAGCTATCAAATTTCACATCAAATGGTCGTAAAAAACTTCGACCACCTTATATCAAATATAAATGGTCTCATTATATACAATCTTTTTAATTTTTTATGTTAAATTTGATTTATCTAAATGGAGCAGCTGCCAAACCGATTTTGAATCAAACACAACCCTTGCCGACTCAGCTGCTCATCTAATTCTATTACACATGTAATGTAGTGCGTAAGGACACGCGTAAATAAAAGCCGTGTTCACGCAGACACGCGTGCAAGAGAGCTGGAAACCTATAATCATCAATTAATGACCTCTTTCTTAACCACTCCTTTTTTGGGTTGTTAAGTTGGATCCTACTGTCAATAATCACACAATACACTACAAGCAATCACCATGCCAAGACACTTACCGGTCAAATAATCAATAACATTAGTCCTCCTAATGCAATAATATGATTTATATAAAACTGACGCCCTAAACAATAAACAATTAAAGTAAGGTGCACTTTTTAAATAGTATCAAAATATAATATTTTAGTATCAAAAATTTTTTTTGATGCCTTGAAAATTCATTTTTATTTCTAATTGTAAATTTTAAAAATTAAAAAATAGTGTATGTCGAGCATATTTATTGAAAATCTTGAAAATTGACAATCTAGATAACACATTACAAGATGCACTATTTTCGAGACTAAAAATCTATTTTTTTTCATATGCATACATTTCGAGGTCGAGATAATTAAATTGAGGGTTTTACTGTATCAAAGCAACCTCTTCCAATGCATTTTTGAGGTGCGCCTAAATTTGATGGTTTAAGGCCTCAACCCTATATAAACTTTTTTTATAACGCAATGAGCCGCTTTTTAACACTTACGTTCTCAACCGTCATGTGCTGTTAGAAAGTAACTCTATGGCATATTCTCTAGCGAGTCGGGGCGTTTTCTTTCTTGTAAGATAATGAGTTGTAATGGAAAGTATCTACTGGAAGTCTCAATTATATTTCAAAAAAAATAATAAAAAACTCAGTTTAACATTTTAAAGTCCATTCCCTGCCAAAAGTAAAGAGAAAATCGATTATGAAAAAAACAATGCCGTCTATAATGGATTTGAATTGGGGTTTGGACATGGGTGATTAGCAGTTGATATTAGCAACTTTAAGAACTCTCACGTTTGATTCCTATCGTTGAATTACCTTGGGACAAAAGAAAAAAAATCGTGATGGATTTATTTAAAATAATGTGATTATCTACAAAAAAATAATTTATTTTTTGTATATAGAGCTTACAATCATTCACATTCATTAGATGTCAAATTAGATAGATTGAAATGAATCGTGAAGTACCAGAAATTTTTTTAAAATTTTTGTGTCTTTTAACGCTCTTACAAACAATGATTTTGAAATTTAAGGGACAAGAAGATCTCTTGAAATTTTATTTTGGTACGTCACTGTAGGATAAGAGATTCATTACATTAAGATTTAATGCCTTAGGGGATTGTATATTGTTATACAATTCCGTAATGATATTACAATACAATGATATTTTTATAAAGAGTATACAACCACTACTTACTAAAACTGTAGGATACAGTTTCTATGTAAACATAGCATACAATTAGACACTGAATATCTGCTGCAGTTGTCATATGGCAGTTATCATATTTGTTCACATATATAAGGAAAAAGTGTATATAACATTGCAACCTTAAAATGCAGAATTAAAGATGCACCTAAAAAATCCATCGAAAAAGGTTGTTTTTAATGTTGAAATACCCTCTAATTGATCATCTCGATGTATAAATATGAAAAGAAAAAAAGATTTTGAGTCCCAAAAAATAGTGCATCTTGCAACATATTATCCACATCGTCATATGTTTATAGGTCAACTTGATTTTAACTATTCTTTTAGTTTAAAATTTTATAATTAGATATAAAAATATATTTTCTGATAACGGTGCGGTTTGTATAGAGCCTAGGCTCTAAACAATCAAATTAGAGCCTACCTTCAATTAGTGTCGATAAATGTGGTTTCAATACTGAAAATTTTTGTGATAGCTTTAAAATATATTTTCATGTTTATTTATAAAGTTTAAAGCTTCAAAAATAGTGTTCATCAACAGATCTATGAAAACTTGAAAATCTTGAAAATTGACGGTAAAAAAAAGCGTTACAAAATGCATTATTTCCAAAACTTAAAATTCATTTTTTTTTTATGTCCATGCATCTTGATGTCGAGATGATAAATTTGATTATATTTGGGTATCAAAACAACCTCTTCTAGTGAAATTTTTGAGGTAGGCTCTAATATGATTATTTAGAGCCTCGGCTCTATATAAACTTTTCCCTTCAGATAATCCTAATAATATTATACACCAAAATTACATGTTACGATAAAATTTGAATGTACGCCTTAATTGGATTGTTTAAGGTTACAACCTTATAATGATACCATTTACTTCAAATACAAGGAGGTCACCATCATACGATTGGATATGAAATTCAATTGCTTAAAATGTGTCAAAATATTCAAGAAAGGAAAAAGTTTATATAAGGATGCTACCTTATAATGTAGAACTACGGATGCCCTTCAAAAATCCATCGGAAAAGTTAGTTTTAATGTTGAAAAACCTTTTGATTGATCATCTCGACATCGAGATGCATGGCTATGAAAAATAAAAAGATCTTAAGTCTAAAACATAGTGCATTTTACAACATATTATCTACACCGTCCATTTTTAAGATTTTCATATGTTTATCGATCTACTTGATTTTAACCATTTTTTATAATTAAAATTTTATAATTAGATATAAAAATAGATTTTGAGATAATCTTAAGAACATTTTACGTCAAAATTATATACCATGAAAAAATTTGAAGGTGCACCTTACCTCTACACCTACGGATGCATCCATATTCAAACTGCACCCTTCAAGAAATATTATTTCAGAATTTGTTCTTTGTCAATGACGCATCTCCAACCATCCCATTTCACATCTGGCAATTTTTTTTGCTTGAACCAAAACAAAATGGTCCAGTGATATATATTGGGATATATATTTCCTTATCATAATTATTTTAAAGGAAAAAGTTGGGAATAGCCCACTAGCTCATATAAACATATGACCCCAATAACCCAAATTGAATTTGAGCAGATCTGACGATTACGAATGTTCGATAGTGTTTGAATTTTTTTTTTTCTATAAATCCAAATCACTTGAAATTTTAGGTGTGTGTTCTTATCATTAAGATGCACCTAATAAAAATATTAAAAAAATTATTCACAAAAAAAAAGATCAAAACACCCAACAAAACTTTTCGGGAGTATTTTGGTCATTTTATTTCATGTAAAATAATTTTTTGATATTTTTTGAAGATTGCCTATTTTTTATAAACTCACGTTTAAAATTTCAAGTGATTTGGATTTGTAGAAAAATAAATAAAATTCAAACACTACCGGACATCCGTGATCGTCACATCGGTCCAGATTCAATCTAGACCGTTGGGCTCATATGTTCATATGAGCTAGTAGGCAAATCTTAGCTTTTTCCTATTTTAAACATGAGTAATGATCCTATGAGATCCTCCGACACTCATGTGTGTAGGACTCCAAAGGATCATTATTAAATTTGGCACATATCTCTAAAAAAATCAAGTCCCGCACTCATGTGATAACTTTCCTAGAAACTTATGCTAAATTTAATGGTGATCCTTTGAAGTCCTACACACGAAGGTGCAGGAGGGTCTTGTAGGATCATTACTTTTAAATATAGGTTAAATTTACTTTACTTTTAAATTCGGGACCACAATGGTAAGATATGGAGTTAGGCTCCGGCCATGATTTTGGAATGCCTCTCTTTACCATCAACTCAACAAAACTTTTCAACATATGTTTAGAGATTGTATGCTGTCTGGCTTTGCCAAACAGTTTGGGTGAGACTGGCCACTGATTTTTGGAAGGAGATTGCATGCAAAGAATAGAGATAGAGAGAACAGCAGCTTCCCGCCAACCCACCCAGCAGAGCGATGCCCTTCACACAGAGAGAGAGAGATCATCTCACCACACGGTCCAAACAAGCGCAACTGTGAGCATCAATGGCCGCCAGTGCCTCTTTCCCGCTTCCTGCAAAATTCCGATTTCAACAACCCCATTCATGGCCACCCTCCCATACAGACCCAATCCCCAACACCCTCCTCTCACCCTCTCTCTACGAGGCCCAAGAAGTTAATGGCCAAGACGACATGCCAAACCTGCACCAAGAATGGCCAACACTTCTGCGAACATGCAATGGGTTCAAGGATTTGAAGAGAGCAAAAGCCCTTCATGGCTTCCTCTTGAAATCGACCTCTCCAAACTCCATCTTTGAGAGCAACAATCTGATCAATATGTACTCAAAATGTAGTTGCTTAGATAGTGCTCTCCAGGTGTTTGCAGTGATGCCCACAAAAAACCCAATCTCATGGACTTCAATAATCTCGGGCTGTGTTCAAAATGAAGAGTTTAGTGCTGCAGTTTCCATGTTCAAAGAGGCCAATCAAAGAGGAGAGAAAATCAATGAGCACGCATACACTGTGCTATTGCAGGCTTGTGCTATTTTAGGGTTGGGTTTGGGAAGACAGCTTCATGGGTTGACAGAGAAATTTGGATTTTCTACAAATCCCTTTGTGGGCACTTCTCTTGTTGCCATGTATTCTAGAGAGCGATACATTGGAGATGCACAGAAGGCATTCGAAGGGATTGCAGAGAGAGATGCACGGTGCTGGAATGCCATGATTGCAGCTTATGCACAGAATGGCTATGAAGAGGAAGCCATTAGAGCTTTCTGTGATCTTATGCAATCTTCTGGTTTGGGTTTCAATGAGTACTCCATTGGCAATACTATCAGTGCATGCTCTGGTTCCAGGGGTTCTTGTGAGGGCAAGCAACTCCATGCTCTTGCCATTAAATCTGGCAGTTTTTCTCATATGTGTGTTGGAAATGTAACTATTAGTATGTATGTGAAATTAGGCCTCCTAAGAGATGCAGAGATGGTGTTCAATGGGATGAGAGAGAAAAATCTGGTTTCATGGACTGCATTAATGTCTGGGTATGCTCAAAATGGTGACAGAGAGAAAGCACTTGGTGGGTTCTTAGAGATGCATGCTTTGGATGTGGGTTTTGATTCATCTAGCTTGACAACTTTGCTTGAAGCTTGTTGTGGCTCTGGTTGTGGTGTCCAGGTTCATGCCTTAGCGATAAAGATTGGTTATGTCTCAGATGTATATGTGAGCACCGCGCTAATAGACATGTACTCAAAATGTGGAAAGACAGACTCCGCATTTCTGATTTTTAATGGCTTATCAAAGTGGAATGTTGTTTCCTTCAATGCTGTTGTAGCTGATTGTGCCCGAAAAGAGAGCCACCAGGAAGAAGCACTGGTTCTTTTTAATGACCTAAGATTTACTGATGTAGAACCTGATTCAGTTTCTCTCTCATGTCTTATGAGCATTTGTGCTAACCAGGCCTCTATAGCTCAAGGGAAGAGCTTTCATGGATGCATCATAAAGTCAGGACTAGATAGTGAAATTATGGTTGGAAATTCAACGATAAATATGTATGCAAAATGTGGAAGCATCAAAGATGCTCAGAGGGTGTTTGAGGGGATGGAAAGAAAAGACTTGATCACTTGGAACTCTATGATTTCCGGTTATGCACTCCATGGACAGGGGAAGGAAGCTCTCCAAAGCTTTGAGGAGTTGGAGAGAGAGAGAATCAGACCGGATGAGGTCACTTTATTGGTTGTTCTTCAAGCTTGCAGCCATTCAGGCCTATATAAAGATGGCCTTCACTTATTCAAGACAATGGCTGAGAGGTTCGAAATCAAGCCTCTTATAGAGCACCATGCCTCTATGGTTGACATCATGGGGCGATCTGGTCTTCTCCCGGATGCGTTGAGTTTCATTGAGAGGTCCCAATTTTCTCGCTTTCCTTTGCTTTGGAGGACTTTGCTCAGTGCCTGTAGCATTCATGGAGATGTAAACCTCGGGAAAATTGCTGCTGAAAAATTGCTTGAGTTGGGGCCCGATGACTCGGCATCATATATACTGGTCTCAAACATGTTCTCAAGCAAGAGAATGTGGGGTGAATCAGCACAGGTGAGAACAGCAATGAATGATAGGAAGATGAGGAAGGAGATGGGTTGCAGTTGGATTGAGGTTGAGAACAAGGTCCATAGGTTTCATGCAAGTGGGAGAGAGCATCCAGAGAGCAGAGAAATATATGAAAAGTTGGAGAGATTGAGTGATGTGATAAGAGAGAAAGGATATGGGCCTGCTACAGATGTGCCTGTTGGATGAGTTGTGGTTGGGTTGAAGGGTGAGAAACTGAAGTACACTAAGATGCAAAACTATGTGCTGATTGAACAACGTTATAAAGACTTACATGTATAAAATGGCGCAGGAAAGGGAAACATGATGAGAGAGAAAGGGCATGTACCTATAAAGCATGGATACATTGAAGAGTGAGAGACAGGTCACCGGAGGGATGGATAGATTGAAGAGTGAGAGACAGGTCACCGGAGGGATGGATACACTGAAGAGTGAGAGACTGAAGCAAATTGAGACCTTAATAAAGTGATCTAACGGAGAGTGGAGGGGAAAAAGTGAAGATGATTGGAACATTAGTCTCGACTATCAATAATAAATCACTAAGGACACGTACGCGTGTAAATATTTTTATAAAAGTATTTTTATGTGAAAAAACCCTCTCATATGACTGATGTGGGAGTTTTTTTTACACGTAGCCATTTGATGTGAAAAACTCTGTACACAAAAATACGAGAGAGTTTTTCCATGTGAAAATCCCTTTACAAAAATATTCACGCCTAACAAATGTGCCCTAAATCTAAAAGAAATACTACCAACATATTGCCCCTCTATGAATTCAACATTCATAGTGAAATTAACTGCACATCCTCCAACTTGCTTGTTAGTTTTAGAACGCCGAATGGACATATAATATGCAGAAAATGCAAATCCATCTCAATCCCTGTCCTACCCACTCCCCATGTCTACAAACAGAGAGAGAGAGAGAGAGAGAGAGAGAGAGACTGTGCCAATGCATAAACAAAGTGAAGAAGCAGAGGTAGCATTAGAGCAAAACATCCACCATTTCGAAGGCCAATCAGAAAGCCAACTTTACCTTTTCAATTAGGAATGCCAGTCCCAATTAACAGTCATGAACTTATTTATATCAAACCACCTCTGCCGCATGGCATGCATCCCATGCAACAAAAAATGCAAGAGAGAAATGAAAGAGAAAAAAATCAAAATAAAAAAGGGCCTATGAGACTATCATCCGTGTGAGATACTGTTACTGTAAAATATCATACACCAAAGCAAAATTAGGGGCCTAGCAAGTGAACCCAAGTTTCTAAAGCAAAAAACCATCCATATATTTCTTCCCATTCTCAAACTCACCAATCCTCTGCGACTACATAACCAGAATTAAAAACAATAGAATGTGAGAAAAGCAAACCCCTTTTTCTTTTTTTGTAAGAGAGAAGATTTTATTAAGGGTACAACTTACAAATTCATGAGATCTGGATGCCAATAACTTGGTTACACTTCTACAGTAAAAAACCAAAGTATAAGCTCTTTTGGCTGTTATCATAGTGTTCTGCTCAACGTCATGAGGCAGTAGTAGCCTCTTGGTCATCACTATCTTCAGTGCCATGTTCATCTAAATTGACCTCACTAACTGGGTTCTCAGGATTGCCATTATCTTCTGTTCCCATGCTGGTGCTATCTCCAGAGCTATTGGTTTGGGTGGCATTAAACACTGGAGGCTGCTGCTTCTCCATCATACCTGACAGAGCCAGTCTAGGCGACCACTCGAGAACATCGTCAATAATGTTAGAAACCCGCTTCTGGTACCTGGAAAGAAGGGCGAACTTTTTCAGCACAGTTGCAATGGCTCAGAGAGAGAGAGAGAGAGATGCATCCTCACCTCCAAAGAAGAGAGAGCAAGAAACCCCTAATTCTTAATTATAAGCATTTCAACATCTTTTTTACTCAAGATGTCTTGCTAATGTCTAGTTCTTGCAAAAGGCATGTGTAGCATGCTCCTATGGGAGTAGATTTTATACTTGATCCCAGAGGCAAGAAGACCAACTTAGAAGGGATTTTACTAGAATTGAAATTTTGGGATTCACTTCAGAATCATCAGATGATCATTTATGAAAAAACAATGCATTTGATCCCTAAACACTAAGATCTCACTGTCTGAAAATTGGATGATCTCAATTCTCAATCGTAGAACCTATTTTTCAGGCAGATATAGTGCATCATTTTTTTCCGGATGGCCACTAGGTTGAATAGGTCACATCCCCAACATTTGTGTTCCTAAAAAACAAATCCTAGCTAGGCTCTTCACCTGAGGAAGTAATACACCTCGCTCCTATGGATGCATATAATAATATTCACTATTGGAAATTAAAATTTTTGAACTGAAGGTCTAATCTTTCAAAACCTGCACCATCTTCATGGTTCTCTCTTCCAAAAATGCACGACACATTCTTCACATTGTTGTGCCTAAGTGAAGAAAGGCAACCCTTTCCTCAAATATTTGGAAGAGTATAATGATTTGTATTGGTTGAATCTTCCTTAGAATATTTTTCCTAGCCAAGGACCATGGAAAGTAAGGTTTCTAACATTTTATAACGAAAATATATTATAATCCAGTGGATTAGGGAAAACCATAGTCTATTGCAGCCATCAACATTATCAAATAATGGATGGAGAGTGGGAACCCAAGTCATCACTTCATTGGTTGGTGATGACCCAAATGAGGAAAAAGTTTATATAGAGCCGAGGCTCTAAACAATCAAACTAAAGCCCACCTCAAAAATTTCACTAGAAGAGATTGTTTTGATGCTCAAATATTCTCAAATTCATCATCTCAACATTAAGATGCATAGACATCAGAAAAAAATGGATTTCAAGTTTTGGAAATAGTGCATCTTGTAACGCATTTTTGGACCGTCAATTTTCAAGATTTTCAGTTTTCACAGTTCTGCTCGATCTACATTATTTTTCAAGCTTTAAATTTTATAATTAAAGATGAAAATATATTTTAAGGCTATCACAAAGATTTCCAGCATTGAAACCACATTTCTCGACACTACTTGAAGGTGCGCTTTACTTTGATTGTTTAGAGCCTTGGCTCTATACAAACCACATCCCCCATATAATGGACAATGGTTTCTCATAATCCATTGGATTATATAATACCAACACATTTGAGTAAGTAATATACTACTATAACAAGAAAACTATACAATATATAGATCCTTTACCTGGACCTCGCGGCTTCATCAGGAGCATGCCGTCTGAGAAGCCATATGGCCACAACAGCTCCAATAGCAACCGTAAGCCTTGATGTCCATTTGGGTCTTTCTTCCTCATCTTTGCTCGGACAAAACTGGAATAACTCTGAGAAAGTTGCTTCCTCAGCAAGAATGTTGGGGAAAAACCAAACACGTTTTCCAAAAAGAATCCATATTGTCCCAAAAATGACCCACCTAACTGCAAATTTAGAAATGATAACCATGAAAATGGATGAAGGATATGTACTACTTCAACATAGCTTAGGAATTTGAGAATTAACAAACACTGACATACAAGAAATGGAATGAGAAAAAAATACAGTACACAACGTAAAGTATCATACAATACACAATACCATTCTTCTCTTTCTGGCTTAATCCTTAAGCTCGACCTTAAGAAGGCTTACAAACACATAAACTAGAGGAATCTTGACAAGACCATGACCCTTATGGATTTCAGCCTGTGGATATCAGGTTGTACTTCTTGGGCTTTTTTTTTTTTATTTTATTACGTTAACATTGTATTAGAGTAAAAGGAGTTGCATCTTCCCAAAAAATTGGCTATCCACAAGTGGGAGCCCTATATACAAAGAACCCCCCAAAGGGATAACAAAAAGAAACAGCGAAAGAACTATCCAAAGGCCTATCTTACAAAAATTACAATAACAAACGATAAAGGACACCAAAAATCTGCGAATTATCTGAGCGTGCTGCATCCTTAGCGAGGGTGTTGGCTTCCCGGTTGGATTCCTGCTAAATATGCTTCCATGAGAAGTGAATAACCCTACAATGGTGATCGATTTCGCCAAAAATGTGAGCTAGACTCCATGCGAGGGGAGAAATTTTAGACGCCCAACCAATAACATTCTTTGAGTCACTCTGAATGACAATTGTAATATGCCTAAATGGGAGTAAAAGCCTAAGCCCTTCCAGTAAAGCGAGAGCTTCAGTAGCATGGAGTTGGTATGGCCAATATTCTTGGAAACATAAGCGATAATGATACCGATGTGGTCCCTTAAAAGATAGCCAATTCCCGATAGACCGGGGTTACCTAGCGAACAGCCATCGAAGTTAAGTTTAAGGTGTCCCATGAGGGGAAGTCTCCAAACAGTGACCGAGGGGTGCGATGGGGGCTTAGAAGAAGAATGGCCTCCCAATTTTGGTATAAGGCAGAAAGAGAAACACCTTTAAAGCTCTTGTGGTTGGGAACCAAGAATACTATCGAGGATTTGATCTTGGAGAAAAGGCCTTCCCCGAGTAAGTAAGTGTTCACCCCGGAAAATCCTGTTATTGCGTTCAATCCACAACACCCAAATCGTGGCTGCCACTGAAGACTTCCATAGAGAGATGCCTTCTTCAGGCCATAGGAAAGGTTGAAGGGAGTTTAAGAGCTGAGGTACATTGGCGAGCAAGACCCACTAACAATTAAAGAGGCTGAGGACTTTACCCCACATCTTGTGGGCGGCAATCTTCTTGGTCCTCATCAATGGAAGTTCCTGTAACTTCTTCCCATCATCAAGGAGCCTGAACCAAGGGGGGACCCTTGTCCCCTTTCCTTTTTGCCATCATTGGCAAAGTACTCAGCCAGGGTATCTCCATCTTTTAGCCAAAACCTGCTCACAGGTGCTCACAGGATTCTCCACCTCTAGGAGAGGACTCTGCCATCTACCACCTCCAGTAGGCAGACAACGCCCTCATTTTCTGCAATGCCCAACGTCAACAAATGGGTCAACTTTGGTTGTTTGTTAGATGTTTTGTGAAAGCAACTGGTGTCCAAGTCTATATGGCCAAAACCGAACTCTTAGGAATAGGCCTACCACAGGCTGCCTTCTACCAAGGAATGACTGGAATGTGGTAAGGTCTCTTAACTGAACAAGTATTTGGAGCTGCCGCTTTGATTAGTGAAACATAAGAAAGCCATCTGGGTGGTAAAAAAGAAAAAGTTGACCACAAGTTTCCAGTGTGAAAATTCAGCTTTTTATTGCTCGGTGGCTGTATCACTATGAAAGGCCACTCTATCCAATACCTCATCTCATCAAATGTCTCTCGTGTATGCCTATATCTGATCAAATGTCTCTCTTGTGTATGCCTATATCTGATGCAAACAAACTTCTGAGGCTCACAAGGGAATTCATTTGGGGGGGGTGGAGGCACACACAAAACCCATCTCATCAAATGGGACACTGTACACAAGGCCCGAGGTCAGGGAGGGTTGGGTGTTAGGAACCTTAGAGACTGTAACTTCGCCCATCTAAGCAAGTGGCGGTTGTGCAATGTTACCGATGTTGACCACCTATGACAAGGGTGATCAAGCATGAATATGGGAGGTTCTATCTGCCTGTTCCCAAGGTGAGTTGCAAATGCCCAAGGCTCGGCAGCCTGGAAAGGCAGCACCAGCTGTTCTTGGCTTTCTCAAGTACACAGCGCAGCTATCGTGGATGGTTGAGTTAGCTTTTGGAACAACCTCCAGCAAGGCTTACAACTCTTGGCACCTACCTGTCCAACCTCTATCTCATCGCTTCAGACTGGGAAACCGCTGTTATGAAAACCTGGAGTCACCTACACCACCTAATATTCCACACTAGAATCTTCATAAGAGGGTTTGGAGGAGATGGCCAGGTGTCTAGAACACCTATTGGTGTTCTGGCTCCCCAAGGGAGGAGGACCAAGATTGGCAGAAGGACGAAGAGCTGAAGTCTCCCTTTTCATGGCAAACACTGAAGGAGAGGTTTTGGACTTCTCTCAATCCCCATGCATTTACTTTAGCTCTTGTGGAGACTACCAAAATCACTGATGTCCGCCTCGCATCCATCATACAGCAACCCCATGGGCTTGGGAACCAAGTTGATGTCTCCTTGAGCTTGAGCGTTCAGTCCTCTTGATTTGGAAGAGTCGATGTTTGAGTAGGAGGAGATGGCAGGGAAACAGAGGCACTCTCTGAGGATCAGGCCTTTAGCATTACCTAGAAAGGGTGCTCAAGTCGCATAGGTGCGGCGGTGGGGGTGGGCAAGTTAATCCTAGTAGTGGAGGGGTATCTATTTGGGTGGGAGAGGGAAGGGAGGCATTGTTTAGGTGCTTCCAAGAGGGTAACAGGTATAGGTGCGGGGCTTTGGTGATGCAGGTACGAGGGAGAAAGACAATAAACAAATCAAGAAAAAAATAAAAACAAATAAAAGACTAGAGAATAAACCGTGTCTCAGGTCTGCAAGGGAGTCGACCCCAAAAAAATCTCTTCACAAGATCCAAATATTAAACTCTTTCCTCTCTTCACTCTTTTTTTTTTTTTCTGGTTGTCTAATAGTTACATATTTATCAAAGAAAATAGCTCTCAACCCTAACTTGCACCTAATAAATCCTAATTAATACTAAATCCTAGCCCTTCATATTAAAAAGAATAAATTTCTAATTCTACCCCTCAAATTTCTTTTTTTTTTTTATGAACATTAACATTTGTATTGCTGTATAAAAGGAAAGAAGCTATGCAACGTGCACCAGCCGGGAAATTTCTGCAACCAGAAATAACAAAAATAACCCTAAAGAAAGCTAGAAACCAAAAATAACCACAAACCTAAAATCTAGAAACAAGTTAAAAAATATATTAAAAAAAACCATTCCATCATTTCCCAGAGTTGGGAGAAGCTCACCCTCGAGCTTACGGAATTCGAAAATTTTCCTTCATTATCTTATACACTATGTTACAAACAGATACTTTCACCCAAGGTTTAAAAAAACGGATCGGTGTTTCGAATCGATCACACCCATACCCATGTCGAATTCAGGAATCGGTGGATCGAATCGAAGAATCGACGGAATTGGCAATTTTTGTCCCAAATGTTTTTCAAAAAATCACTATAAATTTTTAAAAATAGTGTTTTTTTACTCTCTAAATGAAATCAGGAGTGGTGCATTATGTACTGTCATTACTTTGTAAAAATAGGTGAATACTAAGACGTTGAGTTCCTGTCTAGATATTTGTATAATTATTAATTATAATATAATGGGTAAAGTTTATATAGAGCCGAGGCTCTAAACAATCAAACTGGAGCCTACCTCAAAAATTTAACTACAAGAGATTGTTTTGATGCCCAAATATCCTCAAATTGATCATCTCGACATCAAGATGCATGGACATGAGAAAAAAATGGATTTCAAGTTTTGGAAATAGTATATGTTGTAATGCATTTTTGGACCATTAATTTTCAAGATTTTCAAGTTTTCATAGATCTACCGATCTACACTATTTATGAAGCTTTAAATTTCATACATAAAGATGAAAATATATTTTAAGGCCATCACAAAGATTTCCAGTGTTGAAACCACATTTCTCGACACCATTTGAAAGTAGGCTCTAATTTGATTATTTAGAGCCTAGGCTCTATACAAACCACACCCTAATATAAAATTATAATATTGCATCAATATAATTTTAAAAAGCATTAAAAAACACTTCAATATTATAAGATTAAAAATAATTTCCCATATAAAGAAATTAGAATAACATCAAAGTATTAAACATTTATTAATTCGCTTTACAAATCCAAAATTATCACAACCTAACTAACTATAATATTATACGATGAAATTGAAATTGTAGGTTTATATTTTATATTTATTTACTATACAAATAAGAATAAATCTAAAATGTCTTATAATATCATCTAATTTAGAAAATTTTATTTGCAACTATAAGAAAAATAATACATTACATAATTTTTAACGTAAGAAAATTAATATATAAAATACAAGATTTGGTTATCAATGTAAGATTATTAATTATAATATTATAATAAACATAATTAAAAACTTATTAGAAAATGCTTCCTTATCATATGATTAAAAATAAAAATAAAACCGCTAATAAATTTTAATGTTATGATATTTAAATAAAAATAAAAAACACTTACCAAAAAAATGAAAAATAAAGATATCAAAATTCAAAAAAGAAAAAGCCTATCGGCAACATGTACAGTAGCTACAAAAAAAATAAAATAATATGGTAATAAAACCTATCGAAAAAATCCTTTTACTAATAAATAGCAAAAACTTTTATATGCCATTTTTTAATTTGGCACTCTAATTAATTCATTTAATTAAAAGAATATGTTGATGAGGCTCATTTAATATGACAATCTAACTAGGGAACGTGACACGCTAAGGTTAATCTAAATTGACACACTCATTTAGTAGGATACACTAAGGTTCATAAATGAAATGGCATGCTTCAATGGCACGTTATCAAATGACGCTCAATTTAGAATGCTAAGGCAGTTGTGGAGAATAATCACGTGGCTTTAATGTCAAGATGTGAGAGAACAAAAGAGATAAATCCCACATCGAATTTTCAAAAGTGCCCAAGCCACTATAAAGTCTATGACACAACACCATTTATTACACGCGTGATGAAAAGTGGCGTGGTTGTGCTTATTCGTGTTATGATGTGGAGGAGCGGCATTGTTTCCGATGTAGGTGGGGGGTGGACCTTTTCAACTATTTCCAAATCATAATGACACGTGGGTTTATTGACCTATTTTCAAAACTAATAATGACACATGGCAGCCTCTGGTGACAAAACCGATAAGAACGATATATTCTAGGTCCGGGACAGGCTGAACAATACCTGATCCGGATCGCCCGATTCTGGATCGAGTCACCGATTTTTCAAACATTGCTTTCGCCCTTTCTTATTGAACTTATGAGACTTAATTCAACAAATTTGTGAGATATTTAGAAAATTGACTACGATAGCAAGTTTTTGCAATTTCCACCATTCGTTTTTCATGGCTTACAACTTGATCAACTTCTAGAGCATCTTGTATAGTGCAACCAGAGCTTGAATTGGTAATCAACTTTTGATTTTCTAACTCTTCGTAGTTTTGTTCCCCATATTGCAATCTACTGAGCCGATCTTTTAGAACTTGTACAACTTCTTGTATTACTTTGCAAATACGTTTTGTCATGTATTTTTTCAGTCTCAATTATTTGCTCCACACGCTCTAAAACTAGATTGGTAGGTGCTTGTGATAGGATAATGGTATATGGATCTCAAGGCTATGATACCAATTGATGTAGAGAGAAGCTCTGATACCACGTGATGCAGGGAAGAAGGGGAAAGAAATCGACAACTACGATGAGAAAACTAGAAACCCAAGTACCCCTAAAGAAAACTAGAAACCAAAAATCCAAAACCTAAAATCTAAAAAATAGTACAAAAAAAAAAAAAAAACTCATTGCATCATTCTTGTAGGGTTGAGAGAAGCTCGATCTTGAGCTTATTGTGTTCATCGCATCCTCAAAGGCCAATTGAATAACTATTAATGTAGTCCACCATTTGTCGGGGTACTTTGTTTTCTCCAATGAACTAATTAATCAAATACTTCATGAACCACTTGTGGTGGAACTTTGGGATGTTGCACATTATTTTAATTTCTCTTTTGAACTCTCATACCACTTGATGCAGAGGGAAGAGGGAGAAACAAAATAAACAAATCAGGAAAATTAAAAATACAAATAATCGACGAGAGATTATACCCTCTCTCAGGATCTGCAAAAAACTCCACCCCCAAAAGAGATCTCTTTAAAACATAAAAAATAAATAAAATCTTCTTCTCTTCATTATTTTTTTGGTCCAATGGCTACATATTTATAAAAGAAAACAACCCTAAACCCTAACTTATACCTTAAGAAATCCTAATCAATACTAAATCTTAACCCTTCATCTTAAAAAGAAAAAATTGAAATTCTGCCCCCTTACAACCAAAAAAGACAAAATAACCCTAAATAAAACTAGAAACCCAAAATAATCCCAAACCTAAAATCAAGAAAATAGTAAAATACAAAAAAAATACAAGCCCATTACATCATTTGCAAGATTGAAGAAGTGGCAACCAACAAAAATCACATGGAAGGGCAAGGGATGGATGGAGGTGGGGGTGGTAGTGGAACTTAGGTCGTTGAAAGGAGAATCGACCTGGGAGAAGCAAAAGGAAAACTGGGACATTGTGTGATGAGTGAACAACAGCTGCAAAGGGCGACCACTCTAAGAAGGAAAAAATGGTTCCCCTATGGGAAGTGGGGTTGGGGAGAAAGGGAAATAGATGGATTGGGGCAACGGTGGAAGGCGCAATGGGAGTTGGGGCCTTGCTGTAGATGTCAATGAGGCTCGAGAAATGGCTGGGCCTAAATGGAAGGTTTTTGCAATTGTTGTTGGAGGTAATAGTTGGGCGAATGGAGAAGAAGGGAGGAGAGATTGATTAGCCATTAGAGAGCCTGTCATGGAGTGGGGAGATTGGTGGCTGTGCATTGGGAAAGAAACGAGGTAAGGGAAGAGGAGTGAAGTTTTTTTTTTTGTTGTTTGGGGTGCTGGCGGGGGGGGGAGGGGATTGCCGGACAAGGAAGTCGAAGTTGCATAGGAGAGCAGGAGAGAGGAAGCGGGTTTGGTTGGCGGTTGGAGCGTGGATGTGATCCGCTATGAGAAGATGGGTGGTGATCTATGAATGGCCAACTTGTTGTGGTGAAAGTGGCAATTGGTCTGGAGGGCCATCATGGGGGAAGATCAATGGTCTGATGGGAAGGGCCAGGACAAGTGCACAAAGAGATGTTGAACTCCGACGGAGTGATGTATTGAGTGCCCTTTTATAACAATTCTCCACAAGTATTGGAAACAAGGTCGGGTACCAGTAACAAAGTACTTTCCTAGAGTTTTAAGATTGAAAAGGATAAAACAAAATTATTCTATTTCTTAATAATGTATTTTTAAACAAGAAGGAAAATTCTAGAAATTTGGGAAAAATATCAACTCTAGTTTGTCGACACCCATAGAGTTTTAGATGCCCATCATATATTAATTATGAAAACAATTTAAATAACAATTTTTTAAAATAATGTCTTAAAAATTCCAACCGATTCCTAAATTTGGAAGTGAGGTCTCGTATTGGTTGAACATTGTCTTTTGCATCTACGAATTGCAAAATTTGGTGAGTTGGAATCAAGACTCCAAAGACATCGGGAACGAGATTAAAAAAAAAAATGAAATTGTGATTCCTAACCTCCAAGAACCGGGATTTGTGGAGATTCCTTCACATAATCGCAGAATCACGATTCTGAATAGAGGTCGCTACCTAGGGTGGACGGTTCCAAAAACTGTAGACCTTCATTCTTCCCTTGCAAAAGTGCCCAAAGGACTAACTTCCAACAAACCACCTACATTGTAAAAACATTGATACGCACATCAATATCCCAAACACCAACACAAAAATGGGCCTTCAGAAACGACACATCCATACATCATTTGGAGAAGGGGGGAGGGGGCTGTCAAATGGCATAAATACTTCCAATTGTGATTTTACCAAGAAAGGTTAACAAGAAGCTTCTAAGTTTCTAAAATGTGAGACACGGGTATTGTGTCCTAGTGCCTCGACGCTGGCCAAAACCATGAACATGTATTTCCAAGTTGCATAGTTTTCTAGTAATCCAAGTGGTGCCACCATTTTGGGACAACACACATCAAGATTCATCCTAAACCAAGAGCTCAGCAATCAACCATAGTCTCCTACTATACATGTTCAAGAAAACCAGTCTCCTACTATGCAATGGGTTGCCAGGCTTTCTGATACAAAGGCAAACTATAGACATCATTATCACAAAAACCATGGGAGTACAATCAAATTCATGAGTGTGATACAAATGTAACACCATCACTTACAGATACGTTGGAATCTTTTATTCCATAAAATAACTTTAGATAACAAACATTAAGTTTTATACAAGCAAAGCTGTTGAGCGTTGCTTCATTGCATTCTAAGGAAGATAAAACAACAAATCATTCAGCACATACAAGAAATTATATCATGTTTTTCTGCTCCCTGGTTTTACAGAATCACAAAGAAAACTAAAATGGAACACAGATAATTAATAAGGCATCTAGCAGATAACTAATAAAGATCAAAAGAAACTTACAAAATAGCATGCTAAATATAAATAGCAGAAACCCAACACAGAAATAGAGAACTAGCAGCTTGCACCAATGAGGGAATACTGGAAACAAGCAACATGCCAGAGTGACCACAGGCACAAGGAAGGAAAGAATTGTCTGCCAGAGTGGTCTTCGTTTTACAAAGGTCCATGCAAAAAAGGCATCATTGTCAGAAAAAACTTGATCCTGCACAGGATACAGCAAGAAAAGCTATCAGCATTTCAGCAGCAATAAATAAATTTGAAAATCGTAAATGAAATGGACAGCAGAATAACAATAATCACATTATATAGTTAGTTAACATAATCAGGGAATGAAAAGAAGCAAGTGCATCTGCAGGTAAACTGAAGTATAGAGAATTAACAAGGTGGATGAATCATAAAGATTACATTATGCCGTTTACATGATCAAATCAAGACCACTATTCTGACAATATTGACTTCTCACTAGAAGAAAGAGGAGCATATTAAATAAAAAAGATGCCAACATCATTTGCTTTGGTGTCAATTTGAGGCAACCATTTTCACAGCAAAAATCAAACAGATAATGGAGAAAATTTCAGCCACTAAAAGAACTCGCAATAGATCAGAACTAGCACCACTTTCCAATGCTGTTAGAAAATCAGAGAAAGTAATGGTCCAGGGTTAAGAAAATAACTATAAGAAAAAATATAAACATCAAGCAACATCAGTGCAATATTCTTTGGAAGCTGTGTTCTTGGATTAACATAAATGAAAACCGTACCCATTGAATTCATCAAAAAACCAAGAAAAAAAGTAATAGAATGGATAGCATATGATGGCAAATAAAGTTCTTGATGTTAAGACTAGTGAAGTAAAAGCCCTTGAAATCTGAATATGCTAGAAAATAAGACACGAAAACCATTTCTTCTCCTTTTCAGAGAGCACCAACTTTTAATAAGTACTAAGAATATTTAGATTGTATACAATTCATGTTCAAAAGAAAAAGGTATGTGTGAACAAATTGTCTCACATGTAGACCATCAATTCAATCGGGCCTCATTAGAAAAAGGCTGAACATAATTTTTTACTTGCTTGCCACAACTCATTAAGGATCTTCCAATTAGTTCGCTCTATCAACCTTTTTTCTGTAATTTGGTATCCCTTAGTAGTTCATTTCCTTTCCAGTTGATTAATTTTGTGGTTATGAGACTGATTTTTTAGGTTCTGATTTTCCTGCTAAGTGCTTTGTTGTTATTGCAATTTGAAAGAAAGGTAAGCTAATTACAAAAAAAAAAAATACTTCAGCATACCGGGTACATAGTGTGGTCATTCCCCACCAGGAGGGCCATTGGCTCAAAACAGTAAATGATTTAGGGATGTTTTTTTTCCCAGAGAGAGTTCAGTCCTGATATTCAAGGTAAAAAAAGGAAACGATAAGCATTAATTAGCTCCTTCCTGACCAAATAAGATGAATGAATTCAGAGAGGAAATCTGTTGAAACTCGGAAAGTAATGAAGATTCAGATAAGAGTGGAGACATATCCGGTGGTGAGAATAAAAATGTTTAGGAGTAGCAGCTGCAACATTATCTTCTGGTGCCAGGGAAGACTGCTGTAATTTCTCAAGCGGGCAAAAACAACCTGTAAGAATTGTTTATTTACCTAGAGGCAAGTAAGAGAAGCCTGCACTAATGCCTTATCAGAAAGTTCCCACTAGATACTGTCCAGTTCAGGACTCTAGTTTTTGGGTGGTTAAGCACGATGACAAAAGGGTTTCTTTCAGGTTAGTAAATACAAATAGGATCGTAAATGGATCGGGTCTGGTATGGCTGACCTCAAACTGGTACGGTCCAGACCTTTCTAGGTCGAGGTTTGTTGAAACAGGTCTGGACCTGAGGCTGGTCCAACACCACATGTATGCAGGACTGCACCACAAAGGAACAAATAACAGGGTATCAAGCCGGACCAAGATCTGGACACGACCAGCCAGGTCCGGACCCAGAACCCAGTTGGGCGACCTAGCGACCCGCCAGCTCCAAGTTGGGCATGGCAAATAGGATAGAGGTTGTGGCAGGTTGTAGATAACGAATTGGCATTTTCAAACTAGTGAGGCTGCTGCAAATATAAAAACCCAAATAACCAATATAGGAGATGGTCTTGATTTAAGTAATACTTCAATGGGAAAAAGTGTTGTCTCTGAGAAAGTAAAGGGGATTCTAGATGGCGAATAGGAAGGAAAACTTTGGAATCTAGTGTGAGAAGAAACAATCGTACAGGCGGGTGCTATAGAAGCCCCTGTAGCAATCAGGAAACAGACTGGGTTGCAAACTCACAGTAGGTCACATTGTTGGGATTCTAACCTGATTTAGAGCATACAAAGAGATAAGCTTCTGGTGAAAAGTGGATGGCTCTCTCACATAACAAAGATGAGAGGGGGAGGAAGAAGGACAACAGTGACAGAAGAGGAAGCAGCAACACAAATAGATGGTAAATGTATCGGAAGATAAGGGATAACATATTGTCAGTTGACCATTAGAAACTGCTAAAGAAAGAATTAGAGCAAACGAATTGCTATGTCTATCCGGCAACAGGTGGAGCCCCAATGCTCGACTTGTGTATATCTTACTAGCCACAACTGGAGCAGCAGTTAGTCTGGAAACGGATCTATAAAGGCAGTAGAAGGCTCGATAGAGCATAAAAGTGAAAAATTAGAAAATTATAAGAAAGAAAATAGGACATAAAGAGAGCGCAAAGTTCAAAAGAAGAGAAGGAAAGCAGCAGGAGAATGGGACAAAAAACAGTCTATGTTAGCTTGTAAGGCCCTTTTGAAACAATCTTCAAGGGTTCAAGCCCTTGATCTCCCTCATGCAGACCAATTTGTGCACCACTAAGCCAAAGCCTAAGAAGGGACAATAGGAAAATGGGGTAGGTTGACAGGTTTAAGGGTGAAGGATGTCCCTCTTCCTTTTCTCATTTTTCCATCTTTTATTTTGAAAGTTAATAAGATTGTCACCAAATATTCATTAGAGCTAATGTGGCGTAATAACAAAAGGAAGGGGTGACCAGATATCTCATCAGGAGGTGTAGCGGGAAGGGTCCTGCCTTGAAGCATGGCCCTTTGTGTGACCTAGAACAAATTTCAACATGGCTGAATCCAAATTGCTAATTTTGGATAATTGTTTAAGGAAGTGGAAGAGAGAGCAAATCTATACCCCGATCCATTGTATCTTTGCATGAAACTTTATTTGATTTGTTTAGTGTTAACATTGTGTGTGAGTTCTAATTAACAGTAATAAAATTCATAAAAAAATGTGTCATTGCCTATGCAAGCACTTACAAAAACTAAGCTCACATGGCAGCAACACCAAAAAGTAACAGAGAAAATGCACAAATTTCCTCAAATGGAAGAAGCTACACAAGACTCCTACAAACATAAGCACAATTATCAAGACCGGACTGGACCAGGTAGACCAACTGTTGACCGGTGCCTTGGCCAATCTAGCCTAAAGAAGAAACTGGTTTGGTCTAAAACCAGTCATAACCAAAGTTTGACCATTTTCGCCGGTTGGATAGGCCAGTTTTGACCGGCCAGACCAACTAAACAAAGTTAGGAAACTATTTTTGTCATATATAGAACATTGAGCGATACCCACCCTAGCCAATTCAAACAAAAACTGATTTGGTTGATAACCGGTTAGACATGCTAAACAAAGTTGGGAAAGTTCTTTTATAAAATATTTCAAAATTTTCAACTCGTATATTATTATTCCTAATTTATTTCCCTTTTTTAAAAAAATTAGCTGCAAGCGCTTCAATCAGCTGCCTGACTAGTTTCTTTGTTTTTTGGGAAAGTATATAATGAGACCGTTTACCTTGTACAAAGTGATCACAATTAATCTTGATCATTGGATGTGAAATTAGGTAGCTGCATCTATTTCATTGACCAAGCTCAATGTTCAAAAGAATTTTTTTATCATATTTTAAGAAATCGTGACCTTTTTATTCCAGAGGTAAATGATCTTATTGTATACCATCATTCTTTTTTTTATAACTCGGCAATTGGATAGAGGGCAGCTCTTCTCTGATGGACATTTCTATCTCTTCCTCTCTTGGTGGATCACTTTGCAGAGAGTCTTCATTTTCTTGCATTGTCCAATCCAATGACCACGATCTTGAACTATCTCAACGTTTCTCTCTATAGAGATCTTGAACTATCTCAATGATTCTCTCTATAGAAAGCTCTATTCTCTCTAAAGGAGACCTTAGATCTTATATGTACATGAGGCCGTAGTGAGGAAGCCATATTTCCTATGCGGTGACCTAAATAAGACACACAAAGTCTCCACTTTTTCATCCCATATATGTAAGATTAGAAATCCACATTCATAAAAAACTTCCTACTAATAGTGGTTTTTTAATCCTTGCCTCTCAATTCTTTCCTCTTTAAAACAAGTTCCCAAACCCTATCATAAGCCAAGAAGGAGAAATGAACCCTAATTAGAGTGTAACTCCATTTTTTCAAAGGAAAAAGTTTAATGGTTTGGCACCTGATTTGATTCTAATAACATAGGACATAAGTTTAGCATTTTTTCTAAATTCTCTCTCATAATTGTGAGTGAGTTGGAGGTTTCCTTCTCTTGCCAGGCTAGCAGCTCGTGTTTGAATCTCACACAGGTGTTTGAACATATAATATAAGAAGCTATCTGAAATCTTCGAGAAGATTCTGCCAAGCCTCCAAGCGTAGCCTTTTCACTCCTTTGCCCATAGAATAAAATTTAATGAGTTACCGTCCAGTGTCAAGGGGGCCCAACTTGGGTCATACAACCTTAGGCCTATTCATAAAGCATTTGCGTCTACTTCGGTTGCATCTATGCAGCATAGTTCTCCATATCTTTCAAGGTGAGGACAACTCCAACACCTGAGGGGCCTGAGTTGCCCTAGAGCTACCATCAAAATTGAGTTTGATGGTGACACTATATGGAGGATTCCAAGCACTTGAGTATCGAGTTCTATGCATTTGTTTCCAGACAACAGGAATGCCATTTTATTAAAAGCTCCATAAATGGACACCCCCTAAATTCCTTCCTGTAGTGGCCCATGATGTTGTTATCACTCTAGCGTCATTGACTATCGCAAGGTATCTTGGGTATATTCCCTTAAAAGTGTACCAGTTGCGCTCAACTCATATACTCCATGGTCCATAGGAATTTCAGGATACACATTCT